GTTTCAACATTGCGACTGTTTCGAAGTTATGGTAGTTTAGTACATGCGTCAAGCTATTTGAATGCCAATCGCGACATCTGCCAATGGTACTGAACGGAGGGAATATCAAATTGAAATTTGTCCGGATTTTGGCGACGCACCCTGTATGTAAATTTTATATTAAAATGTTATTAAAGTGTTAATTTATTATGCATATAGTTTTTACAATGTAAGTACAATTTTGTGTAGGATTGGTAAGATAATAAATTTATCGTGGTACGGAATTTTNTAAGCTTTGGCGCAAATATTTTGACAAACCTATGATTCTATATTGTTTTGCTTTACTGTAACTATTTCTAAATGTTGATTCCTAAATGTGGTTCGCATGATATAAGAAACAAATTTGTATTATAAGGTTTTGTTCCTATAATATAGAAATTATTTTATCAGTTGTGTTCCTATAATATATAAATTTATTATCTTGACTTTTAGCGATATTAACTTTTTCGCTCCGGGACTGGTCCATATATGGACCAACAAGAAAAGCGAACGTAATAGATGTTTATAAGGTCAATTTAATGCACTAAATTTAGGAAAAAAATTGAACAAAATCTTGGTTACTTCTTTGACCTTCAAAATTAACTTGTAAATAATTAATTAATTAATTAATTAATTAATTAATTCAGCTAAAATGCGAGGTCACTTTTAAAGGAAAAATCCTCGGAGCGAAAAGATTAAGGACGCAGACGATAATATTATCGTTTAATATAACGCAGTTATTTTTATTCTTGTTTAAATAAAATAAAACAATTTAAATAAAATAAATCTAAATACAATGTTTCATATTCTTCTATATATGTAATCACGTTCATGACTCAATGGATTCATTTTTATGATCTCTCTCAAAAACTCTTTTGTTATGCACTTCGGAGCAGTTAATACAAAAATTTAACATGAAGTCTTCGATCAATCTGTTGAAATGGTTTATCTCCTTTTCGGATTAATTTTTGTTTTTATTAAATTATCAATGTAGTTTTAGTAAGAAAGGCTCCAAGTTTTTAAAGTATTTCTAAGATGGAAAATATAGGCCGATTGGAGTCTAAACACGGTTGTTAGTGTGTCAGATAGTTATGAATTTATTATTAAAATGTTACAGACGTTTCAACTACCATTTCTGATTTCAAAATTTATTCTTGTACAGATATATTGAAAAGGACCGGAACTACGGTCGAAATGTCTGTAACATTTTAATAATAAAGTCATAACTTTTTGACACATTAACAACCGTGTTTAAACTCCAATCGGCCTAGTATATTTTCCATCTTAGAAGTAATTTAATATTAAATTAATCTATAACCTTACAATATTACAGTAATATTCTTGATACATTACCGCAACATTACTGTGATATCATCGTAATATTACTGAGATGCAATTCGGCGGACATTTTAATATTACTGTGATATTACAGTAATATTACTATGATATTTTTACTGTATTAGAGCGTAATATTGCAATCGAAAAACAATATTACTGTGATATTACAGTAATATTACGTGCTATATGGGCTCGTATCCTTAGTTAGTCAGTTATTGGTATATCTTAACATGCTGATATTTTTGCGCTAAATAAGAAATTGCGAAGCATTGAATTATGAGTAAGTGCCTGAAACTTTATTATATCTTTGATTTATGGAATAATCAGAAGTAATAGACATGTGTTTTTTAACATAAATGTTTTTTTTTATTTAACACTTATTCTCGTACAGCACAGCAGATTACANAAATATTGCAGGAATATTCCATTGCAAGATTGTACTATTACAAGTGAGTTATGTTGCGAAATATAACTGTAACATTATTATGACACTACAGCAACGGTAAAATGTCCGCCCTCA